AGAGGATAGGAAAGGTAGCAGAATACAATAGTTACTAATATGGCATTATGTAAAAATGTGGATGTGTAACCGATGTGATTCTGCAATCTTTGTAATGTTTTGAACAACCAATAAAATAAAATAAATAAATAAAATTAAAAAAAAAAAACAGGATGAGAAGAAATGGGTTAAAAGTTCAGGATAAAAACAGAAGAATAATCTTTTTGTGTGTGTGTGTTGCTGGGAATTGAACCCAGGGCTTTGTGCATGTGAGGCAAGCACTCTACCAACTGAGCTATATCCCTAGCCCAGAAAAATCGTTTTAATAGAGAAAGAAAACCAGAGGTATAGTCCCCAAATTGTTACTAATGGTTTCATTGGGAGAGATGATGAAATGCATGTCTTTTTTTATATTAAATATTTCTAAAATATTTAAATTTTAAATAATAAACATGTATTACTTTTGGATCAGAAAAAAAAGACAATTCAGTAGTCTCTATTGATAAGCTAATACAAGTACATGACAATGTTACCTTTTCAACATTTGTATTAAAAATTTTAGTGCCATTCAACCTGATTGTAGAAAATTCAAACTTTCTCAGAAAATATTTCTTCATTATTTAAAGCATTTAAGGATAGTTCTTTTGAGCTCAGGAAATGTTTGGTCAACAAGAAATTGAGAACAGGAACCTGAGGACTTAAAAAGTTTGAATCAGGATTTTTTTAATAAGAAAGAAAAATATAGAGAGCACTCATTTCAGTTGAAAGAATTTGTTTATGTAGAGGACACCAGTACACTGGATGCCAGACGAATATATAAATAGTTATATAAATAATGATATTGTATGTGTGCACATTATGCATGGTGTTGAAAAATATCATATTTTCTGTCTGCTACATGGAAACATCTGTGATTAGCATCTCTCCAATGGGAAGGAAAATGGAGATGGTATTTGCCTTTGGGATGTAAAGTTATGTAGCTATCAGGAATACAGAATATGGAAATGTAGAATGAAAAGATGCATACCAATCAACAAATGCCACTGTAACATGAGCTCAATGCTAAAAAAAAGAACATAATCTAATGAGTTTAGGAGCTCCCCTCACACTGTTTCCTTGGCATTTTGAAGAATACCTGACACTTTAAATCCCTCAAAAGTCACTTGCATAATTAACTCACTATAACATTATGCTATAAGTGGGGACTTTTTCATATGGTCTTGTAAGGCTTTCTTGAGTTAAATTTATTTAAAAGTCGAAAAGCCATGCCTCTATATAATGGCCTTCCATATGCAGGCAATCAAGCAGTAATGCAATATACTGAACACATTTCACTTAAAAAATTTATAAGGACTAATAAAAATAAGGAAGAGAAAGAGGAGTATTCTGTTATTTGTTACATAAAAGAATTATAATCTAGCTGAGAAAAACACACAAACCAGGGATAACTTGTGTAATTCTAGTTTCACCATAACAAATCTCCAGATATAGTATTTATTTGAATAAGACTTTATTTATTGCTTACATAACTTCCTCTTTCACATGACCAAGCACTCCATGAAGTGGTAAAATAGAAATTCGCTTTGAAAATTTGATATTTAATGATCCTTGAAAAGACAAGTAAGGCTTACTAATAGGGAGGAGTAAAAAAAATGAATTTTAGGAGATAACATAAACAAATATGCAGATATAAGAATGTGACCTAGAAAACAGGCAAGTTAACTCTCTCTTGAAATAATAAGATTACGAGAAACAAGAACATAAAGGTTCATTCAGTAGGGAATTTGAGAGAACCTCCAATGTCTAACAGAGGAGCTTAGGCCTTGGCTCCTAACCAGGGGTCACTAAGCAAAGAATTGTAAAAAGTGAGAGACATGTTAGATGTTGTATTTTTGCAAATGAGTCTAATGTGTATGTATTTGATTGATTTATAAATGCTAGAAAAACAGGATTCCATGGAAGAAATTCAGTAGTCAATTCATAAAGTCTTGAATGGGCCAAGAGGTGATGTAAAGGCTCAACTGAAAAGAAAAAGAAACAGAAATGTTAGCAATATAATCAAGGTTTAAAGTGTTTTTTGGAAATATCATGAATAAAAATTAAAAAGTGAGTAGCTCTCTTTGTGTGTGTTGTTTCATGACTCCATAATTAGAGTGAAGCCGAAAATGTAATTAGCTTCAACAGCATTTAAGAGGATATCTTTCCAAATGGTTGGTTAGATTAATGACAGAAATGCCCAGTGACCAAAACATACAATAGGGCAATAATCAAACTGTGTCAGACAGTAAATTAGTTTAGTTTTAGAGTAGATGACATTGACCAAGAGCCAAAATGTTGAAAGTCAACGGAAGTGAGATAGACATATTCATCCATGTAGGGAGGAATATGTCAAGGCCAAGTCTCAAATGGAAGAAGGTAAACATGTGCAAAGTTAAAAGCTGTATATAACTTTTAGGTTGAAAGAAAAAACATGTAGAAGTTAGAATGGCAAAAAAAATTAAGATGCAATCTATAGACTTTTCATGAAGTCGGTTCAATTTGTTTTATAGTTACACCAAGAATGTAGAATAGCAAGGTGGACATTGCCTGAGCTGTATGACTCACTTCTTAGGTCAAATTGTTCAAAAAACATTGTTACATGTTTTCATGACTAGGTAATGCTGCAAGATTTTTCAAAATTCTCAAATATATATTCATCATTTTATACTTTCAGATGGCATTTAGTTAATTGGCTATCTAAGGAGTAACAATTAGGATCCTCTACCATGAAAAAGGACTGAGAAGAAAATTTCTGCAGATTTTCATCTAGTTACTAATGTGGAGAAGACCCTACCCAAGCCTGTGCCAGAGATGACTATGTGTTATTTCTCTAGCAAAAGTCTAGTGCTAAAGTGCCACATGTAATCCTGTCATTTTGAGGGATGGAAGAGGCGTATTGAGATAGGCCTTAAGGACAACATATTTATGATCTTACTCTAAAGATAATTGCAAGTCTTTTGTAGATTTCAAAATTGATTAATAAGATATTTTAATTCCAAATTTATTTTCAGAAATAAAAAGTCTCTAGGCTTAACAAAAGGATATTGTCTTCCAAACTCAGTAAAACTTTTTATGTACTTCCTTTAAAAAAACTGACCCTGTTTCAACATAGATACTCATTATAGTTATTTTTCTTTAGATTCATAGTATATTGCTATTAAAGCTATTCACTTGCACAATTTATTTATTCAATTAATGGTTAAATGACTTCAGGAGGGATTAAATAAATGAAGGGTTATCAATAGGCATTCTTATAAACTTTGCTGGATACAAGTTAAAGATTATAATTATTGATTATTTAAACTTAAAATTCCTTAAGATCCTGTGAGAATTAAGCAATGTTATAAATTTTTATTTCAAATATGTTTTCAACAAATGTATTCAATGTGATACTTAAAACAGGCTTATTGGGAAATAAGATTTCACTGGCCCTAGTTGGTAGTTGAAGTCATTAGAGTGCTTAGAAAGTTCCTTGACAGTGTTGGAGGCTGAAATCTGGACATTCTAACCTTACACAGCTTTCTTTCACTTCCAACTTTACTATTATCCACCAAGCTATGATTATTTCATACAATGGAAACAGTGAGCCAGACAATACTCTTAAATTTGACTTATTCTGAAAGACATTTACTTAGTCCATAACTCTTCGAATACAAAGGGGAACTTGAGTAACAGGCTGGAAGACTCAAATTTTCTGACAGTTTCAGAGTTGACAGGGATCTGGTTGGCTTTCAGTAGACAGTTTTCTTTAAGCGTTACTTCACTGAACAAGACAATATATGATAATGCTATTTCACTGACCTTAACCTGCTTCCTGCCAAGGGCTTAAATTAGCCAGGATTTTTGTCAAAACAGTGAAAACCTCTCTGGTATAAAAACTGAACAGTCATATCCTGTGAGGAAAAAAAAAAAAAAAAAAGATAACTTGAGGAAAGTTGATTAAGAAAAGTGCAGTGTTTTCAATTTTGCTACTTAAAAGGAAAAATGCAGATGTCTTGGGATATCTTTTGTTGGAAAGTGAATATAGAAATCAACTTCACATGTAAATTTTAACAGTAAATGTTTATTTCAGGGTAAATGCTGTAAAATGGTAGTTGAAGTCATTAGAGTGCTTAGAAAGTTCTTTTTATGCCAGACTCCAGCTAGATTATCATGTAGAACTATCTCAGTACTGGTGATCTACAATTTACCTTCTGATCATTGGATTATGTAGGACTTAGAAGACAGGCTACATTTCTCCATTGTCAATCTTGATGCAGAGCAGAGCCAACAGTCTATGTTGATGAGGAAATTATAGAATTCTCTTTTTCATTCTGAAAAGGATTACTATGGTAATAACAGGGCCCATTTAAATTAACTCAGTCGCTAAACAGTTCCTAGGAACCTGCCCCTTAAACTATTTTCTCCTTTGCAGCTCTCTGTAGGCAGACATATCATACTGAGAATGGAAGATGAAACTACCCCCAATCCTGGTGCCAAAAGGCACATAACAAAACTCACAAAATCAGAATTACAACCTTGTGCTGGGTTGCCGCAGTCTGGCTGAATCTCCATGTGTATATTTCCTCACATTTTTATTCCTATTAAACTGTAATGCTTCTGCAGAATTGGTAAAGTATATCAGTTTTGTTTTTTTCCTTTTAATATTGTATTTTTTTCTTATTTCTGATTCAAGTGGGTGAGAGAATTCAGTTGGGACCCCAGAAGGCCTTTTGCCTTGGCTCCAATAGCAATACCTTAGTAATGCTTGCTCTTTTTGTGTTTCCATCTGTCGCTCTTTGTCTCTCTCTCTTTCAAATTTGGTATCCTTGTTCTTTATGAAGTAACTTCTAGATAAGTATTCACTTCAGAAGCACATCTATAAATATCACTAACATGTATTATAGGAGGAAACACATCTCAAAGAAATTAGTCTTACTGAAATATCATTTTGGACTTACATATATAAAACATGTTTTAATTTAAAATTGGAGCCAGTTTAGACTTCAAACCTCCCTTTGAAATAAAAAAAAATTGTTTTTATATTTGAAATTTTTTACTATGAGTTTGTTCACTGAAATACTGTATATTTATTCTGATGAAATGATTGTACTTGTAATGAGAAGTAAGAACATCTAAACCCATGCCTACGAGCACATTTTTTAACAACTAATTGAATTTTTGAATTGCCTTGTGTACATTTCTTTATGTGTGGCTGGAAGTCACGCAGCACATACTGTTTTTGTCACCATAGGATATTTTCTCTAGCTACTTGTTGCAGCAAATTGATGTCTTACAAGCACTTCAGTTAATATTCAGATGCTGATGAGGGCTAATGTCAATAATCAAGTCCTGATTTAAGTCGCCTACCACTTCTATAGCTCAAACCCTATTACTGCTTATTGAGACATATTTTGGTTCATCATTGGAATATTTGGGTTCTGTGTATTTTATGTAGTTTTTAAAGTAGGGCTTAAATTAATAGTTGACAAAAGTTTTTAAAAGCCCTATGTCATTCTTTGTGCTAGTGTTTACAATTGTTATAAAATAAAGCAATAATTTTATATTTCTAACACATTGAAAATAGCAGAGGTCTAAGTATAGCTAGGAGAATTTGAATAACAACTACAAGAAGAGGAAAAACAAAGAACAAAACAACAACAAAAAATCACCCTGGACTTTACATCATTTTCACTTTAACTAACCAGAGGTAAAGTATATCCAAGAAAAATAAACATACAGAATTTGGTAAGACTTTCTTCTCACATGTTTTATATATTTATATATAAATATATATATATATATATGTATATATATACACACACATATATATATATACATATATATTTTATCTATATATGTTGGTTTCAGATTTTTCTAGAAAGAACATCACATGCAAATTTCTTCCTGTGACTATCTCTTGATGCTGTAACAAAATACTGTCTCTCTAGCTAAAGGGTTTAAGAGTGCAGGAAAACTTTCAAAAGAAATTTAGCTTTAGAAACAACTATCTAAATTGGAATGCTACATGAAACCCTTTATAATTTTGCAGAGTCGAGGGGGTGTAGAATGAAAAGGACTAGAGACCATATGTTGATATTCTGTTGATATGTTAAGAAATATGCCAGTTTTGTTTCTTATTCCCTCTTAGATGTTTTCAGAAGTTGTCCTGTATGCTGGTTGACAAAAGCCTGCAATGTTGATGTTTAAGGGCTCTTGATTGCTGGCAGCAAAGAATTCCAACTGTGCTGGCACCCGAGATAGCATCCCCACATTTTCTTCCAGGATCATCACCTTTGTTCTAAATAGCTCCCTCATAGTGTGAACAGAAGTCATATGTTTTAGATTTTCTGCCTTGGCACCCAGGAAATCAGTATGATTGAGTAAACATATTAAACCTCCCCTGCATTTCCAGCCTGAACAGATGTTAAGTACAAGCTGATCCACCTACATTCAACCCGAGAGAGTCCACATCCACAGACTGTTTCATTTTCCTTTTGCAATTTATATAGAAGCGTAGATTCTTGCTGGCATGTATAAATGTGCCATTTAAGGCAATCAAAAATGGTTCCACATCTCACTTGATTTCCACAATTGTTCCTATAACGATGGACTACTGAGGAGAGAAACTTAATTTCCTTGGCAGATCTTCCCACGTTGAAGCAACATGTTCGTGGAGAGCCAATATTCAGTAATTATAGCACAATTCCTCACAATTTTACAATTCACTAACAGTATGCATTTTCACAATGTAAAGCTGATTTTCCTTTAACCAAATAAAACATGAAAAGATAGCTGGAAGCAATGGGCAATCTAGATCATTAGATGATTGATGTAAAATTAGAGGACATTTAGACTGGAATAGATTGCAAACACCAGGGAGCTTAGAAAACTTGTAAGCTCTATATTTTGAAGAAATACGTTGTTGATGCTCTTGCAGCTCTTGGTAGCAACCTACCAATTAAAAGAGAAATAGGCTCAAAATGATTTACCTACTAGTTACTTCAGGTTACTATTTGCAATTATTTTACTTCACACAGACATTTCCAGAAAGTTCTCTACATATGCATTCACCAAAAAGAATTTTTAGTTCTAATTCCATGCCTCCTTTCATACTATTTATTTCAGATGTTAGCAAAGAATTGAAAATAAGTAATCACAAACATAGAATATCACAATTATGCTTAATAGTTTAATGTTGAAATAATTGTCTAATCAAATGGGTGATAGTGTTTGAAAAGCCGCCTCTGTGAATAAGTGAAAAGATACAGATATTACAAGCCTACACCAATGTAAATGATCACATCTTTTATTTCTGAATATTATTAGTTTGTTTTAAAGGTAGTGAATATGTAAATATGCATACATACTGTGCTTAATGCTTTAGCTAGGACAATAAATAAATTATGGAATTTGCCAATAAATGGTTGGAGTTGGAGAATATCATGCTAAGAGAAATAAGCCAATCCCACAAAACCAAAAGCTGAATGTTTTCTCTATTACGTGGATACTAATTCACAATAAGGTGATGGTAGGGCACTAGAGAAGAATAGCATTACCTTAGATTACGTAGAGGGAAGTGATGGGAGGAAGGAGAGGCGATGTAGGGATAGGAAAGATAGTAGAACAAAACAAATATTATTACTATATGTATATATGGAACTACATGACCAATATGATTCTGCAACATGTATACTCAGAAAAATGAGAAATTATATTCCATCTATGTATGATATATGAAAGTGCATAAATGCATTTTACTGTCATGTATAACTAATTAAAACAAATAAAAAATTTAAAAAATGAATTATGTAAATATTATATTCTATATTCCTTCTGTAACACAAGTAGCCATAACATGGGTTCTTTGAATCCTGCATTCTTCACAGCAGGGGAAAGTAAAGAAGGAGAGGGTACAAAAACAGTACACACACACAAATATCAGAAAGAATGATAGAATAATGTATGTGGTAAATACGTAATGAAGCTTCTCACAGCATGCTATCATGTAAACATAAACAAAGGAATGGTGGAAGAGAGCTCTTCAAGAGCATAGTACAACTAAACAGGACAGGAATGTATGATTTAAAGTGTTACATATATTATTATATTATATATATATAATTATAAAGTATTATATATTACATATAATAATAATTTGGAGGACCTCATTTGGCCAATGAGGCCACTGGAAACAAATAAATAATTGTGCCTAAATGGTATATATTGGAGTATTCTGAACACTCAGCAAAATGTAACATGCATGTATTTGTCCCAGCCCTCTAAAAATTAGGAAGGGTCATGTAACAGGTGGTTTCCAAACTACTGTCCCTTTGGGTCAGTTTAATGCTATTCAACATGACCTTCTCCTTCCAGGACTACTGTGAAACTGTTTTGAGACTTTCAGAATTAGTGGGCAGAAGCTGGATACCTCAGAGACTCACTAGGAATATAGGTGATTTTGTGAAGGCAAGAAATAAATGCTTGATGTTTTAAGCCACTCAATGGTAGAGGCAATTGTTACATCTGCTTAGCCTAACCTATGCTGATTAATACTTTGTCAGAAAGAAATAAAAACAGGAAATGAAGTGGTTCTGATACTACTCTGGATAGATGTGAAGCAGATATTATAACATTCTCTCCTGTGTATTTGTGAGGATTTGTTATATTTGCCAATGTTTAGAGACATGGTAGCGTATTTACATGGATTCAATTGTATTAACTAGTACATATTCATTTTCTTTAGATGTATTTAATTTATGTAACAAGCCTACCAATGTCATTAAACAAATGGACAAAATGAGCAATGGAACATTTTGTGCTTCTTATTGAAAAGTGAACAAATATTATTACAGTAATGAAAACTACTAGGTAATAAAATGTTAAGATTGAAGAGGTTCTTTTCTACCATTTA